CTGCTGTTTCCTTTTTTGGTAACCTTGCTTCCACTCTTTTTTCCTTTTTTCACTTCTTTTGCTGTTTTCTTGTCTCTTTCTGTAAATCCTTTTCTTGCTTCCACTCTCTTTGAACTCTTTTCTGTAACCTACTCTCTTTACCTTTTCCTTTTTTCACTTCTTTTTGCTGTTTTCCTTTTCCAATTGTCTCTTTTCTGTAACCTTCTCCTTTATCCTTTTCTTGCTTCCACTCTCACCATTGCATTTCTCCGCTTCATATTATCCATATTTATTGTGCTTTTTGTTCCTCTTTAGATATTTGTTATAAACTTTTAAAACTTATTCAGCTAAGCTTATATAATTGGAGTCACTTAATGAACCTTGTTGTAAAATGCGTTTGCCCCCAATAGATTACGACAAGCTTTCGAAGCAGTGTTAAGAAAGACCAGCCTGTTAAAGATGGACGACAAGAACGCAAGTGGCAGCACAAACATTGCAAACTCAAACAACGCTTCAAAGCGTGTGTCACTGGTATGTGATGAGATTAATTCAAGTTATGTTTGTTCTCTAAAAATAGCGATGGTGATAAATGAATAAAAGAATAATGGGAATATGAAAAGGAAAAAGAAGGGACCTTTTGTCGGCATGCAATCATTCTATCATTAACGTTATTTTTATTTTTATCATCACAACCTTGGCTATCATGATGCTGATAGTCATAATTATGATTTCATTTACTGAATTGTTAGTAATGAATATGATAGAAAGACTAACAATTAGCAGCAATGATTAATGATATTGATTAAAAAAAAAATACAAATTTGAATAAGCTACCATAGCCCCTACCCTTCTGTCAAAGACTACTATCTCTCAAAGCTAGTTTCACAGCATAGTTCCTCTTGCTCCCTCAGCCAATGAATAGAATGATTGAGATGACCCAGGAGGAGCAGCGGCGGTGGGAGGAGGAGGAGCTGAACAAGGAGGTAGACTTCAGCAAGTGTCACATTGACCCTGCGCCCTTCCAGCTGGTCGAGAGAACGTCGTTGCTAAAGGTACAGTATAAGTTTTTTTGTTCTGGTTGCTATAGTAGTCATGGCTACTGTAAATGGAGGGCATCGTTATCTAATCAGTCTGTCCTTAATGCCATAATGTTTTTATTCAATGATTATGATGTGTGTCAAAGTTAGGATTATTTTTTAGAAACATTTGAATGAACTACGTTGATATTTAAGTCCTGTTATTATAAGGCTTTACTTTTCATCTATAAATATTACTTTTATGCCTTCATTCTCTTAATACACTGTAACATGTAGAAGGTTAGTGATAAGGAGAAAAATAATATTTCCACAACATCAAATCTTTTCATCCTTAATGATCATATCCATTTGAATTTTTTTCTTTTGCTTATTATTTCCAGTTGCCTTGGTCTTTCCTCCTTTTGCTCCAAAGTATGTCATTTTCCTTCACAGTCATACCCTATATAATATACCCAATATCTTCTTTGACAGGTCCACTCTCTCTTCTCTATGTTGGGTCTCAACCATGCATACGTAACTGCAATCGGGAGGCTCATAGGTGTGGTTGCACTAAAAGAGGTAAGATTAATCTGTTATTTTGATTTGTGGGTAATAGTTTTTCAAAACAAAACAATATCTGGGAAGTGATGAGTATGTTCATTATTTTGTTTCTGTTTGAGATTGTATTGATTATTAGTTATCTGTTTATGATGACAAGGTGTTGTCTATGATAATGTTTATGTGGTATTCATAGTGACTATGTCTTTTTACCTACATACTGAATATATTAGTATAAGTATCAGTCTATGTAACAGCTTCATATTTACTAGTTATGTTGATCTTCATTTCAAAGGATGAAGGATTGAAGAACTCTAGGTATTGTGTATAATAATCTCCTATGTCATGCAGTACTTGCGGCAAATTTTTGAATGGCACATTTGCTTCTGCAAAGCTTTTATCACGAAGGCTAATGTATTTTAGTTAGACCAAGGCATGACCTGTAATGAAGTTATAGGAAATACAGTGACATTAGAATGTTTTTCTTTATCTTTTTTGGTATGCCTTACATTTTCTTTTTTATATAAGATATCTGAAAGCTTAATAACTCATAGCAGAAGAGTTATTTTTTGTTGCATCACTGTGATTTGCCATGATTTTTTTTCAATTGTGGTGTCTGCACTAACCTCCGGACTTAGTCAGAGCAGACTTAGCGCATCACGGTAAATATAGATATCTGAAGACTTTCAAGAGACTCAGCCAACGATATTCTTATATTTACTGACCACTTGCTTCTTACCCATTGTGCTATGTGGCATCTCCTTGTCCTCCCACAATGCAGCTGAGAGCGGCAGTCGAGTCCACCAACTCTGGCGACTTCCAGAAGCCCAGAAGAGATAGGGGGGTCGGGGGAACATTTAGGGAAAAGTTTTTAAGGACCACCATAAGGAGAAAGGTTTTGCTTTTTGCAGAATTTTGTGTTTTCCGTTATTTTGTTTTTGTGTATTTGCGTATTTGTTTTTGTGGTGACTTCATGTTATATGACTTCTAGATCCTTTTGTTGTTGTTGGATGTTGTTTGTTGTTGTTTGAGATATTGCTGTTGTTAGTGAATGATACTGCCCCATTGAATATCGTGATTTTAGAAGTATGAAATTATATATGTTGAATTTAATGGAATTTGTATATGTTTATCTCATTTGTGACTGCATTTGCTCTTCAGAAATATTTCTTCTTTTATCTTGAACATTATCTGTATTAATCATATAAAGTTTCCTTATTGTTTTTCTTTGTACACTTCATTTCATGAAAATGCATGCATGCCTCATATCCCCCCTCCCCCCTTAAAAAAAAGTATTAAGAGAACACTCTTACTAAATACTCTTAATTTTCAATGACCCAGGTGGTATAATCTGAAATTAGACATTGCATATATCACCGATATGTGTTTTAGCCCTGTTTTGTATCTTTTCTTTTTTCTGAAAATGACTAAGCATATCTGCATGATATCATTTGTATGGCCAGTTTATTAACTGAGATTGCTTGTTTGGACACCGTGAAAATGATTTATGATGATGATGATGATGATGATATCTTTAGAATATGTATGGGATTTTTTCTGAAGTATATTCTCTTTTGGATGTATGAAGGGCTTTTGGAGATATCTTGTATAACTAAAAAAAAAAAAAGAATAAGATTTTCTCTGTATTTTATCATCATCACCATCGAAAATATTCATCATTTGGGTTGAAATGCTCGTCTAAACTAGTAATTTATGCCCCTTTTTATTAACATAGAATAAGTTTGGTCTTAGTAGCATGTTGTTTTGAATTAGTTCTTTAGAGTTTGATAATGTATTTTTATAGAGAGATTTTGGCATTAATTATCTATTGGAAGAAAATTGGATTTAAGAAAATATATAGATTTGTGTATGCATTTTTAGTAGGCATAGGTTGATGATACTGTTCTGCTGTTTTTTCTTTATTTTTTTCCTTTTTGCAAGTATATTTAATTCCATTATTATTTTTATTTGATTATTGTTTAAATTCTAATTACATTAAATATTTATATATTTATTATTCATGGAATTACATATATAGATATATTATATATATAATTATATATGTATATATATTATATATGTAATTATATATATATGTATATATATTGTATATGTATATATATAATTACATATGTGTATATGTTATATATGTACATATAATATATATGTAATTATATATGCATATATATTAAGTATATATATTATATATGTAATTACATATGTATATGTATTATATATTTAATTATGTATGTATATTATGTTTGTAATTCAATTATTATTCAATTTTATTATATATTTTTCCATTTTAATTCCACTATTATTTTGATTTGATTAGTTTTTAGATCTGCTTATTGCCACCCCTATTTTTTCTTAGAAGGCAGTAATAGTATAGCCTTATGCTTTGTTTTGCCAAGTTAATGTTAAAATGAATATTGTTGTTAGCAAAGTCACCCTTGCATTATGACATCTCTTATACTTATTTCCACATTTCATGCCTATGTTTCACTCATGCACATTATTGTTGTAATGTTTATGTGTTGGTGAAATGGTTTAAATAAGGACAAAGCACAATATGTTTCAAAAAGTTAAAAAACAGTAATCAGATTTACCTGTCATCATTTTTTTGTTTATTGTTTGATGTTCTTGGTTAATAGATGCTTCGGGTTGGTTTTCATCCAAACTTTCTTTTTTTTTAATGGTCATTTCAATCATCAGAATATGAAAGGAAATTCATGTATCTGGTACTATTCCAATAATACAAATAATACAGTATGCTAAAGAATTTTATTGATTATTAAGCACTATATAATCTGTGGGATAATAAATGCGTATTAGCCTGTGGAGTGCGCGGTACAGTGCAACTCAGTGTGAGTTTGAGTCACAGCTGAGGCTATGCCATGTTCAATATTTGTGGAGGTTGCTGTTTTTCACTAAATCAGATAAGAGAAAAAAAATATTTTTATAATTTATTCTGCTACATGGGGTGGGATTAAAGAGGGTAATTACATACTCCACAAGAGTATACCAGTCTACCACAGGGAAATTTATAGATATTAAGGTTATACCATACTATCTCAAAGCTACTAAACATGAAATACAAAACGCTGACATATAACTCTCACCCCACAGCTTCGGAAAGCCATCGAAGAGACCAATTCGGGAGACTTCCCCAAGCCAGAAACAGTTCCTGCAAGCACGGATAGTCCACCAAGAAGCCCAAAGACTTCAGAGTCAAAGGTTTAATGTAGTGATTATCCATCAGATAATGAGACTTTTTTTTTCTCATATGTGTGTTGCAGAATGAGCACTTTTTTCTCTTCTCTCTTTCTAGTATGTATATTTATTAATGAAGCTACTATTGATATAGGTAGAAAATTTATGAATTATTTGGGCTTCCTGATATTAAAAATGCATTTGGTGAAAAGAGAAAAGAAATTTGCAATTTTGTAATTAATGGTACAGATTTCAATATTATATATCTTTTGCTATATACATGCCAAGACAATTAATTGGTATTAGATAATAATAATAATATATATATAAAGCACGGCAATTAAAGGAAAGGAAAGGATATTGTGTAGATACTTAATTCAATCAGTTATTAGAATAGGATATCCTAAAATTCCTGATTTGCTTTTTATCATAAAGATTTTTAAAAATTCATCTCGTTAAAGTCAGCACCTGATATCAAGCAGTTCAAGTGTTATCTTACAATTTTAAAATCTAGTTTTAGTCGGAGAAAAAGAAAGGGGTTTGGAAGAACATTTTAAAAAATGATATTTCTTTTTATATTGATCCATTGTTGATAAGGCTGCAGACCTTATAATACAGTGCCTACCTGGAATAATGAAGTCATTTTTACCTTTAGACCTAATAAGGTGTTTTTAATAAGTTAAATGTAAGATATTTATTCAAAGAAAATAAAACTCATGTGTACATATCCTGAAAATATAAGATGGTAGTATGATAAGATAACGTGGAATTACACTATTTTTCCTTATCTGTGTAGCCTCCTACCAAGAACTCTACAGGTATATAAAGGCCACAGGTTCACATTATGATAATTTATAGTTCTTTATCAGTCACCTCATGGAAGGTACTTCAGCTGAAGAGATTATTAGGAATATGATTTAAGTAGCAGATTACCCAGACAGAGAGAAAACCTCAGGATAATTTATAGGTTTTGCTTTTAACAAGCATCAGTCAGGAGATGGTAAGCTGGTTGTTGATATAAGATGTTGATAAGTCACCAGTAACCTATTTTCACTTCCTTGTTTTCTATAAAAACTTATAGAACTTGTGATGTTGAAAACTTTTCTTTTATTATTTTAAATCCAAGTTATGAATGTCCTATCATTGTATACAAGTTAGACTGTGTGGTAGCAGATTTTACAGTATTTGTATTATCAGTGTGAAGAAGTTTTCTGCACTGAAAGTTTGACAGATAAGTGATCTAAAATTACAATTTATGATAGCAACTCCAACATAATTGCTACTATTTTAAAAGTGATGCATTTTCCTGATGTATTCATAGAAAAATTATATGTACATTAATCTTTTGAGAATCTTTGCAGCATGATTTAATTGATACGGTGAATCAGGAACTAGACAAGATGTACTTTATGGAGTATGTGAGACTGTATCATGTATGTAATAAAGAGTAGAGATATTCACACACTCAAAGGCAAAACATTCAGATATGCATCATGAATATATTATGTAAATAAGTGTATATAGATTAATGTTGAAATATGAAATACACTCATATCAATAGGTAAACAGAAATGTACTTAAGTATATAGCTATGCAATTTAGGATTTAATACATAGGATACAATCTTAGCAAAGAAAAAACATGAACCAGCATTTGAATGATGATAACACTAATAGGATACATATAAATAAATGCCTGTGATTATTTTGCAATAATAGATTAAAAGTAAAGCCTTCCATTGAGCTGTCTGGTTAATGATTTTTAAGTGGAGCTGATGTTTTACTTCATGCTATCATGTATACTATTGTTGTTGGATATTAGATATATTTGCATACTTATACAGATACTTACTATGGTGACTTCAACATTTATATAACATGTATGGTACTCCAGTGACTTTCTCTTATAATACTCACAGTCACTTTTCTTAGAGTATAACTTTTTAAGCTATATGAGAGGATTTGTAAAAGCCAAATAGATTGTGCTCGGAAATGTGTTTGCGAGTAGGAGAATTCAGTAATCATAGAAAATTACTTGATATAAGTATTATATCCGTGAGGAAGTGATTTTTTTTTTCTTTCTTTCTTTTTTTCTCTTTTTTTCTGGAGATGTCTTATGGTGCAGCAATGGTTTCTTTTTTAAACTGTATATAGTCTAAAATTTTTATGGCCTGATATTGTTAGTTACAAACAGCAACATACATTGTTATGTAAATAGACAGAAAGGGTGCAAGCCAAAAGAAATCTGTAAGATATGAAAACTCTTGAAATGTGAAATATGCTACAAATTTATGAAGAGTTTATTTTAGTTTAGGTGTGGTTTACATTTATTTATTTTTTAAACCAATGTTGAATTTTGTTTTTTGGTTTTGCAGTCCTTTTTTTGTCATTTACCATTTTATTAGGATATCCAAGGGAGGGATTACATTTAATGTAAAATCCTGCATAGGAGTCACATGTTTTCCACATGAATATATTTGTTTACTCAGTGTGTAACTTCATTGTTTCAACTTTACACTAACTGCTGTGGACTGCATCCCTACAAAAGTTAGATTATGAAATATGTAATTGGTCGATCAAGGTTTCTCTTATCTTCTTTTGTGCGGGAGACAATCATTTTTTATTTATTCCCTGTTTTACTGGAGACTTTAGCAGACCAATCATGAGTCTATATATACTATATAGCCCAATTTTTTTTCTTCTTCTTCCTCATATGTTAGATAGATAGCAAAGTTCAAATGTTATCCTCTACTTCAGTAATGAGCATTATTGCACAATATTAATATACAAGAGGTAATGCTTGTTTATGTGCCAATTCATATAGCCATGCTGGTATTGTTAATATTAATAAATTCTGTATTCATTTGTCTACCGTCTGGATTTTGTAAATAAACCTTTCATGTATTAACTGGTTGGATAGTGGACAGACGAGTAATGATATAGTAGATATATGATGGTATGTATATATATGTATGTGCCATCAAGTGAAATATGATACCCAGTCGGTCATGTTAGTCAGTTTAGTATTTGCTTATGTAGATATTGTTCTTATACAGGTTAATTCGATAATTGAATTCTAGGTCAGATATATATATAGAAAGACATATTTTGAGATCCTGAAATCTAAGGAGTAATAGCCAGAGTCGATTGTTGTTCAGTGCATTTACTTGCGACAGTATTGGATGCTTTGTCATTCCTGTTTAAGTGAAGAGAGGAAGACACGTGGGGAAAAACAAAAACACAGCAAAAAGATGAAAAACTTCCTCAAAATTTGGCATAGATCTAGATAACTGCGACCCAAAATGACAATGAATAAACCAGATTCCAGCTATGATTGTGATAGCATCTTCTCCTTGGTTGTGTTAGCTACGTCACTATATTTGTAAGGTTGTTAAGAAGGATGATCCTTTGGCTACGGGCTCCGGGATTGTCACTTCTGTCCATTCTTTTTAATTCTCCTTCCTTTTTTTATCATTATTATTTTTTAATTCTTAGGTGTTTTTACTGATTTCCAACTGCATTTTCCATGTGGTGCTCTTCCTCCTTTGTCTTCAGTTACTTCTTTTTAGTACCATTTTCTTTACCCTTAAAATTGTGAAGAATTATCCAGTGAAAATTGATATTTGTAAATATTTTTTTTATGAATTGCACTGTCTGTTATAGCTTGTTTATTAGAATTAATTGAGTAGTTTTAACTAATTAAAGACTTTTAAGTTATGTGAACACTGTTATTACCTTACAGAAAGTAATTAAAATGCAGAAGCCTCAAGAGGTCCAGAACTTGTCATTTGCAAGTGACTTTTGAAGAAAAAAAATATGTATTATTATTTCCAATAATCCTTTGCATTTCTTAGATTAACTGATAGCCTGAATATGCATGAATACACAAATACTGGGAATATTTCTAATTTTCTTCAGTTCCTTTTTTATATATATATTTCTCCCCCTTTTAGGTTTAATAAAATATATATACATTGATACAAGAATGAATTATGTGCTTATTCATATACATACCTGTGCTCACACTCACTCGCTCACACACTCACGCACTCACACTCACTCATTCACACACTCACACACTCACACACACACACTTTCACACACACACACACACACACACACACACACACACACACACACACACACACACACACACACACACACACACACACACACACACACACACACACACACACACACACACACACACACACACACACACACACACACACACACACTCTCTCACACACACACTTACACTCTCACTCTCACTCACTCACAACTCTCTCTCTCTCTCTTTCTCTTTTCTCTATTTCTCTATTCTCTCTCTTTCTCTTTCTCTCTCTCCCTCTCCCTCTCCCTCTCCCTCTCCTCCCTCTCTTCCTCTCTGTCCCTCTCTCCCTCTCCCTCCCTCCCCCTCCCTTTCTCCCTCTCCCTCCCTCTCCCTCTCCCTCTCCCTCTCCCTCTCCTCTCCCTCTCCTTCTCCCTCTCTCTCAGATTTCAGTGCTAAGCACCAACTCAAGTATCTATATTAGCTTCCCATCTTTCCATAGGTTCCAAAATCACTTGCAAGATGTAAGTTAAATGAATGTTGTATTCTTACATATCAGGTGTGATTGTAGCTAGTTCTTACTCATGTATGGCTGAGGAGTGAAAGGCTATAACGACTCTGTGATGACAGTCTCAACTAGTTTTGTATATATGCATTGTCATATAATGTTATCTTTTTTTGATAGATGTATAATACAGTGATGAATATGTTGTGAGCCAATATAGATTTATAGAATGTTTTCTTTGTGTTTTTCTTTTATCCTTTTATTAGCTGTGATGCAGATATGGCCATCATTTTGTTACCATATTAAATGTCCATGAATGAAAGTTTGAACAAAGTAATATTGGGGTATCAACTTCTTCATGAAATGGGATGAAAAGAAGCTTTCTACAATACATATGTCCCCTGTTTTATTTCCTGTCAAGATGGGGTGCTTTCTCAGTAGTGGAGTAACTGTCAATGAATAAAGGAGGGGGGGGTCTAATGGGCGGACATGCCACAGGCGTGACATTAAAGGCAAGTAAAATAGAGGTTACATTATTTCTCTAGCCTGTAGATACTACTTCTTAGGCATGCTAGTCAATCAGGCCCGCTTCGTGAGTGGTTGACATGTATGCCATATGTCCTAAGGGCATCCAGTGGTATGTAAATGGTGGAAGAATGAAAAATTACTAAAATGCTGGGTAACATTTTTGAATTGTTTGAGGAAAATGCACAGTATCATACTGATTGATCAGATAACAGAAATTCGAGAGAGAAAACATTCTCTCTCTCTCTCTCTCTCTCTCTCTCTCTCTCTCTCTCTCTCTCTCTCTCTCTCTCTCTCTCTCTCTCTCTCTCTCTCTCTCTCTCTCTCTCTCTGTACTTGTAATAATTTTTACACTCGTTGCTGCTATATTTGACATTATATTAGCTTCTTAATCTTATATGCTTTAATAACAAAAATGGATGTAGGAGAAAAGCGAAGCTGGCCTGAGCCACAAATGTCTCCTTCCACTGAAAAGAAAAGTTTTGAGTGCAAACAGTGGACATTTCTCATGGTAGTAGTTATCCACGAGCCATACTTGGCCAAATAAAGGTCTTATAGCGTAGCCCCTACACACGTCCTGGCCACAATAGCCCGCATGAGGGATGAGAGAGACATGGCCAAATAAAATGGAGGGGAGCGTGTATCAATGGCCTGCTGATAGACCCTGAGGACTAGGAAATCACAAACCTGAAAGACGAAAAGAACTCCAGCACCTTATAGTGGTGGACCACCTCACCGGGGATCATTCGAGAAAAGACCAGAGAAGATCTCGAGCTCTGCGACTCAGAGAATATCCCAGGGTACACCGAAAGGGTCAGTGATCGCTGCCACGCCGATCAGGGTGTTACGAGGGCGTGGAAGAGACAAATAGCAAGGTTTAAATAAGTAAGGTCAGCTCACTTCTACCTTTGGCCCTGCAGAAGTGTGGGGATAAGTGGGAGAGATGTGCCTTATAAAATAGACGGGGCCCTTTATTTAGAAAACAATTATTTTAAGACCTACTTATTTCATTCATAGTGAGTGAGAAACTCTTCAAGGGTAGATTATTGTATTCTGTGACAGTCGATAGCATTCGATCGAATTCGATGAAAAATGATCATCACATTTAACTTCAAGGACAATCTGGAGTTAGTAACTTGAAATCGGAGTGGTAGCATGCACGAGAGCTGTTGCGACAGAGGACCAGGCGAGAAGGATGACAAGGGCAGGCCTGAACCAATTGCCCGCAATGCCAATGGGAACCGGCGCGGTTTATTGGGAGTTGGAATGAGCTGACCTCTCTTATTTAGACCCCGACAACAGCAAGAAGAACGAACGAATGTGCGAAGGGATGAGGACACATGGAGTATGTCCCAACAGGGAGATTTAGCCCTAGAAGATCGAACGGACCTCGGCAGCCGAACCACCCATAACATCATGGTCGTCGTACAGGCAGTGAAAAGTAAATGCCTCCACACTTGTTAGACTTTAAAGGTGTGCAGCGTCACCTTTGCGACAGAATCCTGTTGACCTCGTTGTGATAGGAGTAACATGGTCCAAGAAGGCCTAACCATGACGACAGATATGCGAACAAAAGGGGAAGGGGAAGCACGAGGAGCCTTGTCCTGATGCAATTAACCGTTTTATTCAGGAGGACGTGGATCGTTCTCTCTCGAAGGGGAGATTGCTTGAAGGGGAAGAGCAAGACTACACACTGCGCATCTGTTTGACAGGAGCGGAAGTTTCATTAATGCAAAGTGTTAAAAGAGTTAAATACAATATAGGTAGTTTGAGAAAATTGTTCTTTAGGGGGACGGTTCCCTTTTATATCACAAAGGCGGAGTTAGTCTCAACATTAGCACAGGGCAGGTAAAGACTCCATTTGTCTTCTTGGCAGTAGTAGGAAACGTTTTTGCAGACGCGGGTGGGATTGTTTCACGCCCGCCACCCTGCCCATAGGCGTCAAGAAGCTGAAATCGATTACAGTGGTAGAAATCTGTCAATTCCATGACAACCGTAGATCTAAAGGGATGCTTTCGTAGAGTTTCCCACCGTTGCTTTGGATCATGCTACAGATGTGTGCTTCATGGAAACCGATTAATGAAGAATATGTAACGATGGATAATGGTAAGGCTGTAAACGTTTTTTTTTTTTCGGGTGAATCGTCCTAGCATCAATTATTTTCTTGATAGAAATTACTTGTTATTTATCCTTCGAATAGATCTATTCCAATTATTTTGGCACAAATATACCAGTTCAATGAAGTGCTACAATTTAATGAAAGAGAGAACGTTAACCAGTTTTTTTTTTCTTTCTTTTAACGCCCTTATATGATGAAATATATAAAATATTCACTTTTTTAAGCAACATTCAAGATTTCCCTTTCGCACTATAGAGCTATTTGGCATTTAAGATTTGACAGTGACCGATTAGGCGCCGTTTAACCTAAGGTAGTGCAGCGAGACATAAAGTTGTTCGTCGTAATTTAGCGGAAAAGCCACAAAAGCCCTTTAAAGAATATCCAATCACGCAATATATTTCATACTTAACTGATAGTCATGATGATATCGCAAGGTAGACGTTTATTGGTATTTGAAGGGAGATAATTGATGTTGCATTTGAGCTATCTCTGATATCATAATTTGAATATGTACCTTGTACCTCTATCTTATTATTATTATTATTATTTTTTTTTTATTTTTATTACATGGTTTTGATACGACTCTGTAGCAGCAATAAATTCTAGTTGAGTACGAAGAAAAAAACAAAAGCAAAAAAAAAAAATAGAATAAAAAAATGATACTGAAACTACCAAAAGTATAATTTCTGTTGTCGTCTGCAATAAAGGATTTTCAAGGTTTTAACGCGGCAATTAAATCGATCATAACAAAAGATAAACTGCATATTGTTATATACATATATATGTTTGTCAGTTAATCATGGAACTTTCTGGAATATCTGAATTAACGCATGTTTTTATATTTAATATTTAATATTACTCCACTATGGTTACGTTGAAATTACCTTTATTATTCGTATCAGCAGAAACAAAACGATGAAATAAATACAATTAAAACAAAATAGAAGAAAAAATCTAACCAAAAGTTGGCCTACGTGTGATTCCACACTTGGCATGGAACAGTCTCGAACGCGGGTCCGCAAATTACTAGACCACATCGTTAACCGTTCCTCCTTTTCGACGATCGTTACCAATAAAGAAAATAGCTGTGTATTTAACCTAAGCATTTATTGTATCACTATGGGAATGTGAACTTATATGGGTGTTTGTCTGTTTTACGTAATTTTCAATTTAGAGCTGATAGACGCATGAGAGAGAGAGGGGGAGGGGGGAGGGGGGTTAGCAAAGAGAGAGAGAGAGAGAGAGAGAGAGAGAGAGAGAGAGAGAGAGAGAGAGAGAGAGAGAGAGAGAGAGAAGAGAGAGAGAGAGAGAGAGAGAGAGACTACGACAACAATCATTAGCCAGTAGAAAATTAATGAAAACCAGATTTTCACACCTTGCAAGATTATTAGTGATAATAAGATTACAACTTATTTTAAGACGCGCGCTTTGGCAAGACACCGTGCTTTGTTGATTAACAGTTTAGTTTGTTACTTAATTGAGGAAAACAGACTTAGACGCGCTTTGTAAACTCAAGGCTTTCCCGCATCAATTCATTGTGAAATGACAAAGGAAGTAAATATTGGTGAAAAAATCATTATAATGGCAGTCGATACTATGGTCTATTTTGCTAGTGCATTTAAACTAGCATCATATCTTATTGAACCTGAATGTTGAGATAAATGTATGTGTGACATAGGAAATTGGAAAGATTATAAAAGAAAGGAAAGAATGGGAGAAACGGGATTTTCCAATTACAGAGAGGGTGTCATAGCCACACAAAATCACTTTTATTTGA